CAAAGTTGGCCTGATAACACTTCAGTATATTGTTTATAAGCCATCAAAAATTTGCATTTAAGTTTTATACATACAACAAAAGTTTCACAATGGAATTTAAACGTAATAGTGTGATTGCGTTATATTTGGCTGGAAAATCACAACCAGCTATTGTTCGTCAGCTCAAACACCTCAAAGTGAATAAAATGTTTCTGTATCGCACCATAACTCGTTATAATGATACTGGTAGCATTACCAAACGCTATGGTGGTGGACGAAAAAAAAAACAGCAACATTACCTGAAATGATTCGGAAAGTGAAGGCTCGACTTGAGCGAAATCCACGTCGTAGTGGTAATCAAATGGCCAAAGAACTGAAAATATCCCAGCGATGCATGCAACGAATATTGAAAAAGGAGCTCAAGGTCAAGCCTTACAAGTTTCAAAAAGTACACAATCTTACACCAAAGCAAAAAAAGTTCGGCTTGAAGGAGCAAAGGAGTTGTTACGCCTGCACGAATGTGGCGAATTTCCGAACATAGTGTTCTCTGATGAGAAAAATTTCCCTATTGAGCAGTTCATAAACTCTCAAAATGATCGTGTTTACTTGACCGAACGCACCTACGAAAGTTTGAGCTTACGAACGGCCACCCGAAGTAATTTCCCATCTCAAGTAATGGTATGGGCAGCTGTAATCGCCGATGGACGCTCTCCAATCGTTTTTATTGAAACTGGTGTCAAAGTTAATGCAACTTATTATCGGGAAAATGTTTTAGAAGCTGCTTAAGAGCCGTGGACACGCAAGCATTTCGGTTGTAGACCATGGACGTTCCAACAAGACTCGGCACCGTCTCATAAAGCTAGTGTGAACCAAGAAATGTTCCACACTTCATTTCATCCACACATTGGCTTTCGAATTCGTCAGATGCAAATCCAATAGACTATTCCATCTGGTCAATTTCTGAAATTTTGATTATTTTCACACATTTTTGTCACTTGAATCAATAAAAAATAAATTCACACAAAAAAATTATGGTCGTTTGAATAGGTAACAGTTCAATTGCGTAACCCTGTATATTATAGACCAGAGAAATTAGTAAATATAAAGCCTGTTTCGTGACACATGTCTTTGATAAAGGTATCTCTCAATTGCTTTTGATAAATTTGGTGATAACACTAACAAAACATGCAAATAATTTTTTTTTATTATTGAGTTAATGCCTCGACAACTAAGATCATTGGCATGGTACAGTCAGGTACCTAGTGTAGTGTGTGTGTGTAGAGTAATTGTCTTGATACTTAGCAAAGTCGACGTCATTGTCTTTGCTAAGAGACGCTAATTGTATCCGAACGTCTGCGGTCCCTCCGGTGAGTACCGATCGCACAAGGATAGAAATTATTTTCATTTATTAATTTTTAATAAACGAAAATTTCTCCACCCAGATGAGATTCGAACTCACGACCTTTAGGTTTAAAGGTAGGCGCTCTTACCACTGAGCCACAGAGGGGGTTACATGCAAATAATTAAACGTAATTTTTGCTTATAAACAATATAATAAACAATGTAAGATCGCTATTGATTTTAAATGAACACTGGCAAGTTATATAGAAAACTGACACAATTTTACTGACAAAGAATTAAAAATCCTTTAAAATAAGAAATTTTAAAGTTATTTTTATTAATTTGTTGCTTAATTATTGCAAAAATAGCTTCCAAAGTAGATTTTTTTAAAATTATTAATAACTTCTCTAAAAATGCACATGTCACATGTTTCCAAAAATTAAAATTTCAAGAGATTTCACTTAACAGTTATTGCAAAATTGAAATTGTTTATCCTAGAAAGCTTTTATCTACAACGTTATTATGCGTAAACTATTGTAGTCCGCTCGTCAGAGATTTGAGCCTTAAAAATTTTACGAACAACTGAATTTTGTCAAGAATATCAATTTTGGGACCCTAACAAGGATGAAAAAAAGTTGACCACTTTTATCACAGGGCTTCCCTCTAAAACCCTCCTTGTAGGGGGGGTAAAAACGCAAAAAAATCGATTTACCAAGAATCTGTAAGCCGTAGAAAACAATGTTTTAAATAAAAAATATAGCTGAGATAATTTTGAACAAAAACGTTTATTAGCACTTTTTGCGTAGAATAAGCCGTTGTCTCAGAAACAACGCTTGAATCAACCGGCGATTTTTAATGTTAGTTCCGCGCGCGAAATCAATTTAAATAAAATTTGTATCAACTCGACGGTAAAAATCCATATGTTTTGATCAGAGTGTCATATCGACAAAAATAAAAATGCGTTTTAAAGGTAAAGAGTGCTGTTTTCGTATGCAATTTTAAATTTAGCTGCAAATGAAGTCAGTTTCTATAAAGCTGTTCAATAAATAAACTTCGCGCTAAAATAAAATCTATTACTTTTATTGACAGGTCGTAGTGAAATTTTTATTGTTAAAATCCAGTCTTCAAAACCTATATGGGATAATACAGGGAGATTCTCTGAGTCCTCTATTGTTCAACCTGATTATCGATGAAATAATAAAAAAAGTAAGAACTAAAAAAAAATACCAAATGGGAGAAAAACAACTTAAAATAATCTGCTATGCAGATGACGCAATCATCATCATCAATCAGCAATCGCGTCCACTGCTGGACATAGGCCTCCCTCAGTTCTTTCCAGGAGTTGCTCTACATTGGGCCCGCTTGTAGCCAGTTTCAACGTACACGTTTTAATGTCATCGGTCCATCTAGTCGGTGGTCGGTCCTCGGCTTCTTTTATAATTTCTGGGCCCTCCTATTCCATATATCTTGTCCCACCGTCATATTGTGTTAGGTTAAGTGCCCTGCCCAGTTCCACTTAAGCGTCGTGGTTCTTCGATGACGTATGATCTCCTGATATTCGCTGATTTGTTGGTTTGTTATGTGGTCTCGGAAGGTCCGTTCAGATTGCACGTTCCATGGTCGTGTGTAACTCTAAGTTTATTCGCAGATTTTTGCGTGAGTGTTAAAGTCTCTGATCCATAAGTTTTTACAGGTAATAACACATTGGTTATAAACCTTTCGCTTGAGACACATGGGATTGATACTTTTTAGAATATGGCTTAATTTGCCAGATGCTTGCCACATGTTAGACCTATTCGCTCTGTATTTCATGTGTTTGATTGTCTCTGCTTAGTTTGATTTCGTTGTCCCAGTATTTGTAAGTGTCTGTTTGTTGTATTGGTATTATTGTCAATAGTTATATTTCCACTTCATTACGAGATTTGTTATATTGTAGTGTTCTCAAAGGTTATCTTTAATCCTGCTCTTTCAGACAGGACTTTTATGCGAATGCATCATAGATAACTGTATCATGTAAGTTATCTGCGATTTATACAACATCATCTGCAAACCTCTAGGTGATTTAATCTTTCTCCATCGATATTGATGCCCATTTCTTGCCATTGCGTACACGTTAAATATTGACTCTAGAGCTGCCGTGAACAATTTTGGTGAAAATTTTGTCTAGCCTTGTCTAACTCCTTCGACCTAGCTGAATTTTTTCTGTGTCTTGTTGCAGTCGTTTACTTGATGTAGACGTTCTGATAGATGTTTTGATTAGTGTCGAGTACCTGTAATCTATTCGGCTTTGATTTAGGGCCGCAATACTACTCTCTCCAAATTGAAGATGATTTAAAGGGATACTTTTCTTTCTTTGGGTGCTTGTATTCTTAGCAATGGTTGGCAATGACGCTACAAAGCTTCCTAGTTAGGGGCTTTCCTTTAAACTTTGAAGTTAATCCTCTCCAATCTTTGATGTTGCGCAGGCCAGGTCATTTGTCGTCTACCCGGGCCGCGTCTGCTTTCTATTTTCCTTTCTATAATAAGCTGCAACGTATACTGCGCCAATTTAATATAACCGCCAGAAAATTTAACATGTTAATATCCCCAAAAAAGACAAAATGCATGGTTACAACAGAAAATTTACTAAGATGTAAATTGGAGCTGGAAGGTCAGATAATTGAACAAGTGATAGAGTTTAAATATCTAGGCATCACTTTATCTAGCTACGGAAAGCTCGAAACCGAAGTGGAAGATCAAGTGAATAGAGCAAACAGAGCCGCAGGCTGCCTAAATGAAACAATATGAAGAAATAAAAATATCGGGAAAGAAACCAAAGGCAGAATTTACAAAACAGACATCAGACCAATAATGACATACGCGGCAAAAACAAGACTTGATATAGAGAGGACAAAAAAGATGTTAGAAACAGCAGAGATGAAAACACTTAGAAAAACTGATGGTAAGACATTATGGGATCGAGCTAGATGTACGGATATACGACATAGATCCAAGGTGGAGAACATCAAAAACTGGGTAAGAAATAGAAGAGTAGAATAAAACGATCATATAAGCCGAATGACAACAAATAAAGTAGTAAAGGCGACAAGAGACGGTTCCCCAATAGGAAGACGATCAGTAGGAAGACCACGAAAACGATGGAATGACAACTTACTGGAGGCACATTGAAAAACAACAGAGTCATGTCTATATAAAAAGAAGAAGAAAAAGAAGAAGAAGCCTACTTCGCAAATTTAAAATTGATAAGTTGTGCAATGCTTCATTTTATCTGCATCATTTTGGCTGTAACATCAAAATCATACGTAAAATACTTAAATATTTATTGTTATTTAAGTATGGTATATTTAAAACCCAAAAAATAGCTTATGTTATTTTAGAAGACTGATAGTAATTTAATTTTAGTATGTAATTTTTTTTCAATAAATATTGAGCCACTGACACAAGCTAGTTTCCTTGAGTAGCGACTGCATCATTTAAGCTGCGAGCCACTGTATTTGTCATAGTATACTGCTAGATTGAGTCTCAAACATTGTTCTTGTCTATTTAGAATTGCGGCTACAAAAGTTATCGATCCTGCAGTCAGGAACCCGAAATAATGCACAGTGCACATTCTTTACAATATTTTTAGCACAGTATTTGTCAATCTCTACCGATTTTTACTACACTCTCTACTTTGTATTAAAAATATCTAAGCCGAGATCCAATTGCTACATTCTGTACACTCTGCGGTTCGTACCACATCAACATTCTTATTGTTTAAAACACCCAACTCACTTTGTTTGTTTTTAAATACCCAAATACCTACCTATTTGCGTCTCTAGATGTATTCTCGTGAAATCAGTGAACTTTTCCTTTGTGATAAAAAGTAAAAGGCGGCAAGACAAATGTCACGACGTGAACATGTATAAAAAGATATCCGACTGAAGGTTTTTTTCATAAAAAGTTTAGTGCAGAATGCGTCTATGGCTCTATCAGCGAATAACGTGTTTCAGTTTTTTACTAACAGTGTCTCGTCTGTTCTAACAGGGTAAGAAAAAACGAAAAGTGTGATGTGTGATTTTTTACATCTTATTTTATTTTAACTGCGCTTTAGCTCCTTTCATGTTTATATTTCATTCCTCTTCGGTATTTTTAACATTTGACACTTAGTTATTTAGTTGTTATTATCGTCTTTATTCTGTTAGTTTCATTATTTTTTATTTTGTTTTGTTTTAGAGCTTCATATACTTGTATTTTTCCTTGTTTATCGTTTTGTCTGTGTTTATCTCTGAATACATTAACTTTACTTCTACTCCTTTCATCTATTGCATCTTTTAGTTCCTCTTTAATGATATTTTTTTTGTTTCTCATATTGTTGTTACTCCCTCAGTTTTCCTAGTTTATCGGTAATACTTAAATTTCTTTTAGTTGCGCAATTTTTGTCTATCGATCAGTCTTACTTTTTACCGTTTACTGTTTTGTTTTTTTTTTCTGTTAAAGAAAACTAAAATATGACAATTAGCTGATCCATAAAACTTATATTTATTTATAATTCTTTTAATTTGTCATGAATGCAGATCTTAGTTTATTTTACTTAGAAAAATTTAACAAAAACTATTTTGCGTCACTGGCTGATTATTTCCTTTTAAGTTATTAAGAAAGTTTATTACCTTGAAATTGGATACAAATCAAGCACACTGACCCACACAAACTGCAAATGATCTGGAATGACCCATGGATTTTCAAACCCCGTAGCACGGAACACAGCAACCAACAACAGGCCGGTGATTATCTCCTTTACAAAGACTAAAAAAATAGTATTTTAAGATTAAATTCACCTCCTTCTAACTCATGGAATTAAACAAAAATTTTGCCGGTTTGTTTTGAAACCATCTGCCGAGAACCATCTCTACCGTTCTCGAGTAAATCTGCTTCTAATCTTGGCTGCTCACTCGAATTTCCGATAACCAAAATGAATAACGAAAAACAATAACGAATTTTAAGAAAATCCGGACTAAACAATGAAACTGACTGATTTCGCCGCTAGCCCCTCATCACCCAAATCATTCTCTTCTCCGCATCACTTTACCACCCACCTAAGTGGAAAGACTCTTATTTATTTGATGCGCAAAATATCCAAGCAGAATCAAGATCAAACGAAATAGCAATTTGTGTTATTATAAACAGAATAAAAATGTTTATATTATCAATCTTAGCGACACAAAAATATTGAGAATATTTGTTAGATTTTTATATATACGAGGTAAAACGGAAATGCTACAAGATTAAATCAGATTACACAAAAAGACAGTTCTCCATTGCCATAAATAGATGATACTCTAAGTACTTTCTCAGGTCCTAAATGGATTTTGACCCTAGATTTAAAAAGCGGCTACTGCAAGTAAAAGTACATCCTGATGATCGAGACAAAACAGCTTTTTTAACTGTCCGTGGCTCTACAGGTTCCAGGTTGTACCATTTGGTCTGTGTAACTACTATCTTGAGTGATATAATGATTATGTAAAAAACTTTTGATGAACATTTGAAAACTCAAGCGAGATATTTGACAGATTGAGAAATCCCAAGTCAAAGTCAAATTATAAGAAATGTTCAATATTTCAAAGAGAGGCATACTATTTGGGACATACTGTTTCAGTAGAAGAAATGAAACCTACTCCACAGAATATTTCAAAAGATTTGCCTAAACCAGAAAATAACAAGGAACTTAGAAGTTTTCTTGGACTCTGTTCATATTACCGAACATTTATTAAATCTTTTGGCTTCATTGCTAAGCTCCTTTATCAACTAACCGAAAATATCATTAAATTTGACTGGACACTGGATTGTCAAAATGACTTCATAGGTTTAAAAAAATCACTGACAACAGCACCTATCGTAGCCTTTCCACGAGAAAATGGCAAATTTCTGTTGTACTGTACGTACTGTAAAAGACTTGAAGATAAAGAGAACATAACCGAAGAAGTAAGTCTCCAGGTAATCACAGTTATACAGGAAGAAGGAATTCACCAGACTTTTCTGGAAATCCTTAAAAATAGTCAGAAGGAAGATAATGACTTAAAAGTCATACGAGAATGGCTTAAAAATGGAGTAAGACCTATTTGGCAGGAAACAACCATATACTAGAGCTATAAAGGCGTACTGGGCTCAATAGGAATCTCTGTGCCTTTCCAATGGTCTATTGCTTCGGACGTGGGAACTTTCTGATGGAGTACATAAAGTGCAACAAGTGGTACTGCCAAAACCACACATTCAAAGTGTGTTACAAGAACTTAATAGCAGCCGTTCGGGAGGACATTTCGCAGTTGTACACTTTCCAGAGCTCGAGACAAAGTTTACTGGTAAGAAATATGATTTACGTAATTGCAGAAAAGGTCCTAGAACAAGAAGTCGTAGTAAAATGGTACAATACCTTTCCGGAGAGTCTGTTGATGTTTTTGACAGTTTGTAACAGTAGTTAATAGTGCATGGAAACAAAAATGCCAATACCTAGACAACCATATAGGAGGGACAAAGAGCTCTGAAGCCTGGAGAACTATAAAAACGATGAGAACAACGACAAAAAACCAAGTCATAATAAATAGAATACCAGAGAACACATAGGTAGAGCATTTTGAGAACTTATTAACAGGGAGAAGAGAAAGGTTTAAATAGACAAATGAACAAGTGGAAGTAGAAGGAAGAATAGAAATATCAATAGAACAAGTGAAAGAAACAGTTAAGGGAATGGAATTAAGAAAATCTCCAGGCCCAGGCGGAATTAATCCAGAGTTGATTAGGTATGGATCACCAAAACTGTTTGAAATGATCCGAAAATTATTCGAAAGATGCTTAAACGGAGAAGAAGTTCCAGAAGAATGGAGACAATCGTATATCTCTTCAATACATAAGCAAGGCACAAAATGATTGCTACTATAGGCCGACTATACTCAAAAGTACTACGAAACCTGATAGAAAATGATATTAAAGACAAAAAACCCGAAGAACAAGCGGGATTTAGGGCCGGACGCTCCACTATGGATAATATTTTCACATTACAAATGCAATGGAAAAACGAGTGCAGAGAAATAGAAAAACCCATAATAGATTTGGAAAAAGCATATGACAGTGTACCGATCTCCCAACTATGGGGAAAAATACTACGAACAAAACTTTGCAAGAATTAAGATGGGACAAGAAGTCACCTCTCCTTTTCAAACAACAAAGGGACTAAGACAAGGTTGCTGTCTGTCACCCACCTTATTTAAAATCTATTTGGACAGATCCTTAGTGAAATGGGTAAAAAAATGTAGAAACATGGGAATAACGGTGGAAGAAAACACGCTATATACACTTTTCTTTGTGGATGACCAGGTAGTAATTGCCGAAGACAGCTACGATCTTAGCTATATGGTAAGAAAACTGCAAAAAGAATATGAGGTGGCAGTTCTAAACATGAATATGACAAAATGTGAATATCTCTCTGTGGGAACAGATGAAATATGTGACCTAGTCTTGGAAGACGACAAGATCAAAGGCGTATAATCTTGCAAATATTTGGGGGTTATTTTCAACAAGAAGGGAAATAGCGCAGATGAAATCAGGAAAAGAATAAACAGGGGCAGAGTACCGACCAGTGCCTTAAACTCTCTTCTCTGGCAAAAAACAATTCGACGAGAAACCAAAAAACACATTTACGGTAGTATAGTTCAAAGTATTACACTTTACGGTTCGGAAGTATGAGTTAGAAACGAACAATTAATCTGGTTCGGACATGTTAAAAGAATGCCAGAGTACAGATGGCCTAGAAGAGTACTGGAATGGATCCCTCCTGAAAGAAGAAAGAGAGGACGACCACGGAGAAGTTGGCGCAACAATATTGATGAAGCAATGGCGGCAAGAGACTTAGAAGAGGCAACTGCATATTATGACAGACAGCTATCAATCCGTTATTATTATATATATATTGTTTATATATATTATATTGTAATATAATAGCTATTAATAAAACAGTAGTAGTATTTTGAGTTTTAAAGTTTATAATTGTCAGTCAAAGTATTGTAATATTGTTGGTGTTTCGAATAAAGCTATTTTAATAAGGAAAACATTAAAAAAATAAACAGGAAAATTAAAATAATTGATCAGCATTTCACGTTTTTTATGTACATATTAAATATAATTTTAATTAATTGACATTAACATCAGAAGTTTTTACTTCATTTTAAGTTTGTTTTTAAATAAAAAATATACTGCCAATTTTTATCATAGTCCGAAATACTTCCGATATATTGACAGTTTTCTAAAAACCTTTCAGATTTGACTAATTTGTTTCCCACGCAAAATTGCAGGAAACCTGGTCTTGGGGGACAGATACAAATAAAAAATAAAAAAGTCAACAACCACAACTCCTCTGCGAGGTCATTCGAAACATACAGACTAAATTTAGGTTTCTAGAAAATGAAAAAGAGAATATTAGTAATATGTTTTTCATCATTCTGACGCACATTATCAGCGCCACCAAAAAATTTTTATATTTCTGCTTTTAAAAAGCAATTTTTTTACTTTGGTTTTGCTTGGAAGTATTTAATTGGTATTTTAGATTTAACCATTCTAGCTGTTTGGTCAAATGATACTAGGATTTTTCATTTTAAAGTTTTTTGTATTACTGAAGATTGGTTACAGGTAGAGTAAACTGTTCTTTCTTCTCTGATGTACATGGGATTTCAAAAGAGTTGGTATTTAGTTACAGTGGCAGATAATATTTTCAGCCGTTTCCTCTACATTTTCGCAGAATCTTCAAATTGCTCTCTCCACTTTGCCCATTTGAACATTACAAAGATGATGTTTTAGTTACCAATCTCCAGTGGAAGCACCTGTGATTACTCTGAATCTCCAATAGTATATTTCCGAAGAGAGTAGAAGTTGTAATATTCCTTCTGCTTACTTTTGGCCTGGAATATTATTCCTATAGGCTTTACCAAGTTACTTTTCCCATTTTTGGAATCCTCCACTGGGTTCTTGGTACATTGCAGAATGGTTCTGATCCGATAA